CTCTCTCTCTCTCTCTCTCTCTCTCTCTCTCTCTCTCTCTCTCCCCCCTCCTTTTTCTTCCTCGTTTCTAAATTTCTAAACGCGATTAGTTACAAGACTGCAAGACTGCAAAGGTGTGGGATAGCTGTACAAGCGTTCAAGCACGCTTTTCTAAAATATATCATTAGGAATTATATATGTAAATGTTTACGGACTTTCCCTTACGCACAAATGCAATGCAATGCAACCATTTTTGTATTACTATTAATTGTTACCACGCATAAGACACGGCTGTATGAAATATCGCTCTTCGAAATTTTCTCGATGAAATCATCGTCAAAGGCGCAATGTGTTCCGTGATCTTTTCACCGAGAAATTGTTAAACCGATAAAATCGACATTTGTCAATACAAACGCGCATTTAACCTACAAGCCAGAGGTTGAAATGTTTTCCAGAAATAACGGAAAACGATCCCAGGGAAAACAGCGACGATCACTGTTTTTCATCGTTGTATTATCGTTACTTCTGGGACCTCGTGGATCGATCGTATTTCCTTGATTTCTCCGCACTTCTTTGCATATCCAGGAAAAACGACACAAGGATATCAACGTGAAAATACAAATGTCAGGCAACTAGTGTGAAATTACTAAACTATGATCGGTGATGAAACATTTTGCAGTCGCAACTTGCGTTGATCGACAATCGGCCATTAGTTGAATCTCATACACATTTGACACACAATTGCAGTTAATTCCCAAAAATCCATAAACCAACGTGAAAGATGCACACCGATCAAATTAAACAATTCGATTAGTATTTATCAAATATTGATAGATAGAAAGACTGGTTTCACAGGACAGGTAGGGTTGCTACCTGAGACGGACCATATGGAGTGCAGAAGATAGCAGATAAGGGTATTTCCTGTATGCGTGTCTGAACCTTGAACCGGTATACGATATGTTTCATCGAAAATGACGCTACCGCGTGCGATCGCTCGACAGGTATATCGATTTGGAGCAATGGTTCGTCACGTATTTATGTTCGGTAAACGTTACGTTCGTTTCACGTTTGATACGTATTTGTTCGTTCGAACCGGCGTCGAAAGAAAGAAAAAGCAAGACACGATGTAACGTCGACGTAAACGGTGTAACAGCGTAACAACGACGTAAATAATGGTATGTCGCATACCATTTACAAGAGACGTCTTTCAAACATCGAAATATGCATACAGCCCTTTAAGATAAAATTGTGAAAAAAGTTTGAACCGTGTAAACGCGTGATATTTATGAACGAACAGATACGATTGCTTTCCATCCTGCTACCATCTCCCTTGTCTAAAAATAAATCGTTGCGTAAAATTAAGGGCGTGCCTGATGGTACATCGTCGTCATCGTCGTTGTCGTAGTTGTGTCGTTTTCGATATCCTTTTATACAAGTGTCCTGAACAACTGCGATCCCTCAGATCGAACCTTTGTTACTTACAGGTATCTCTCATATCTCTCTTTATCGTTCAATGCTGCTCGATCATTCCCGAAAAGATTTCACCCGCTTTGGATATAAACGCCTATCTCGATCGAAAACTCGTGCCAAAAAGTAGGCACGAAAATATACCACGGTGTTGGCCGACTACGAAAACGGCATCGTAGCTGACGGTTCTATTCGCGTGTCGTTGCGTTTGATCGTAGAGAATAGAATATCGTGGATCTCGTGCTTAGCAGAAGTCTCCCTTATCCTCGTCATCCTTATTACGAACAAGTACGAACGATTAATGTCGTTAGATGTTCGTATTTGTTTAGAAAACCGGTTCAATTTGCCGAAGAATCGAGGAGAATAGAGAAGAATCGAAGAAACGAGAGTGATCGATTATAAATGGTAAAGAAAATTGCCACAAACTCATCCGTCATGAAATAAATCTGCCTAGTAGCGATAGTTTTGCGACAGAATATCACGGAAAACGATGCACTTAAACGATACACATATGTAGATACGAGGGTACCAATTGGCTCGTAGACGATTAGCCAGTTGGCTAACCCAATCTCTTCTCTTATCTATTTATAGGACGATGTCGCTATTAATACATGCTCTATTATCGATGTAACGTGGCATTGTTGAAGAAGTTGTGATTTCCGTGATGCGCGACTCGCGAGGACGAAAATATCGATTGATTTACAGCGACGAACGTGGTGAAAGGTTACGGAAAAGATGGTTTGTCGTTCGAGAAATGTTGATTGTCGCAGATGCACGCATTGCAAGAAACGAATGAAACCATCGAAAATAGATAAACTTTTAAAAATTCGAAAATTGAGTTTTTCCTAAAAAATTACCAAGTTACCGTTTAATCGTTGGCTAATTTACATCGATCGTTTATACCCTTCTACTTCTCAAGAATTTATCTAACCGTGATTATTGCGTTAGCAGGAGGATGATACAGGGAAAAAAAGTATAGAAATATATAGAACAATGAATATGTTATTCCAGGGCAGACTATTGGAAGTCTCAGGGTCGTAAATTTTGCGACTTCTGTAAGTGTTGGATCGCTGACAATAAGCCTAGTATCGATTTTCACGAAGGTGGCAAAAAACACAAAGAAAATGTTAGCAAACGACTTAAGGAAATACACAAAAATAGTGCGAAACAGGCGAAACAAACCAAAAAGATCGAAGATGACATCAAGAAAATGGAAAATGTACGTTCACTTTTTCTTTCGATTCACTTTCTTCCCTTTACCTTCGCTTTCTTTTCACTTCTCAGGCGTTCTCAAAAAGATCAAACATCGCCAAGTTTTATCAAATGAGTATTTAAAGGATTTTGTCTTTTTGTTTTACATATTTAGGCAGCTATGATTGCCTATTTAAAGGACGTAGAAAATAACACGAGAGACATGACCGCCGATAGAATCATCAAAGAGAAAATGACACAAATAGAAGCAAAAGACGTGAGTATTCCATATTACTTACTACGTTTGTATTAACAAATTGTATTAATGACAGTTCTTTTACTTCTTTCTTAACAAAAAAAGAAAAAAAAGAAAAAAAAGAAAAAAAGAGGGAGAGAGAGAGAAAAGGATATATATGTTACAGGTGTCATACTTCGATCATATAACAACAGCCACTTCAGGGGCACAATTTAGATTCAAAGCTGAAAATCAACAGGTGAGAATTCACACAGATACCAATCGATCGTGCTATTCCAGACGAGCTCTCAATCGTTCATTTACCGTCCGCTTGGCAAACTTTTAACTGCACTGTGATGTTTCAGTTTTCTCAGGAAATCGACCCATGTGATCCAACTCTAGTGAGAAACATAACCGCGCAACAGATGAAATCTCAGCACAAAGGCGATAGCAAAAGTCAGGGAAAAAAAAAAAAGGGAAAGAGCAAAACAGGAAAAGGAAAAGGGAAGGGGAAAAAAATTCTGGAAGAGGAACGTCCAGCAAAACCAGTTCGAAAACTTTGGTACGAAGCTCTCAGTCCCGAAGGATATACGTATTACTGGCACATTGAAAACAACGGTAAATTGATCCCTCTACACTTTTTTAATCTGTCTTTTTCTTTCCTTACGTATCATTCTTAAGTTCTGATTGTTACCTCTAAATACATTTTATGCGACAGAGTCCGTTTGGAATCCACCAGAAGACGGATACATGACGTTCGCGGAACAACAAGAAGAAGCAAAGGAGCAAGCGCTTCAAGAGGAATTATTAAAACAATTGGATAAGGAAGAAGCGATCGCGAAAGCGGATATTCTCGAAGAGAAACGAGCCAATGCGGAGCGGGAGAAATTGAAAAAATTGAGAAAGATGAGCAGTGCACAACTACCGCAGTTAGAAGTTGAGCAAAATATAAAGGAGGAAATGCAAGTTGGAACGGAAACAGAAAGTCGACCATACAGACGAGACTATAGCATTCCGGTAAAGTCACATCCATATGGACCTTGGCAAACCGTACAGAAGACGTAAGTACTATTCGATAAAGCCAAAATACTTGTAATCTATCTTAGATTAAATATAGATACAGCGAATGAAATAACGTTCGGATGTTTTCACTTTCAGCCAAGTTAAACCACTGGATTTCCAGTTACCGCAGCAAAATCAACTACAAATACAATTACCTGTCTCTAAGAAAACAGAATCACAGTCGTTCCAAAGAATATTTAAAGAAAAAACTATTACGCAAATCGAGATACCTGACATCAATGAAGGCAACCAACCAATTGCATTTAAGAAACGAAAAATTAGTAACAGAAACGTACGTCAAAGGTTCACCGATGATTCGTAACTGTTTTAATGGTTATGGTTAACTGCGCACATTTTAATCGGACAACACATATCGTTCGACCATTTCATCGAAATTAGACATTTCATTTACTATCTACTTTAAAATTATTTTAAGATATCAGAGGTTCAATGACTACATCCTTTTCTTACAATTTACAGATCACTATAAAAAGTACACTTTAAATAAGTTTACCGCATTCTTGGTATGTTTACTATCACATACAATATGTATAAAAATAATAACATAAAACATTGTTCTTTTTCATTGTCTGTTTACATGGCGAAAATTCTCTGTTACCCTTACTCCATTTCTTTTCTAGTCATACATCAACGGTATTCGCTATCCAACCTGATATTTGATTTAGGCAAAACCTAGTACTTATCCCGAATATCGAATGGTAAAAGCGATATAATTGCTTATTTATCGAATCTCGTCAAATTAATGCAGGTAGCGGCGTATTCTTTCCAACAATGTCATCCGAAGAAACGTATTCTTTCTTGTTTAACGCGTGTGGTATTCCGTTAAGTCGATCCAAAATTACTTGACGGGGCAGACCTTTCGTTTCTGGAATAAGCACGAAAATAAACACGAAGGTAATCGCGCAAGAAGTACCGAGCAGGAAGAAACAACCGTGAACCCCTAATACATCAACTACGTTCGGGAATAACTTAACGACCAAAAATGCCATGCCCCAAGCAAAAGAAATTCCGATCATTAATACCAAACTCGCCATATTTCGACTAAGTATTTCCGAACAAATCACATATGGACCTGGACCTAAACCCAAACCATAGGTAATCATAAAAACGGACAAGGCAACGATCGAAATCCAACTAAACCGACTAACATCGTATTGAAGTGATTGCAGGTAGCAAAATGTGCCGAGCGTAAAATGACATAGACCCATCCCTAAACACGAGATTAAAAGCAATGGTCTTCTACCGGCCTTTTCCATCAGCGAAGTGGATAAACATGAGCCAAACACTTGAATCACGCCCACGATAATTACTGAACTGTTTGGCGACAACGAACTTCCCGACATTTTGAATATCGTTTCTGTATAGCTTAACTGTGTGGAAAAAGAGAAAAAAATGTCAATGTAAAATGATTAAATGACATATAATGAGTGTTTTTTTACCATAGCAAATATTCCGCTAAATTGTTGTCCACCGAACAATCCCAGTGTAATAAGCAATCCTTTGATCGTTGCACGATCTCGAAACAATTCTAGCAGTTTAGTCGATCGCTCCGAAACTGTGAACTCTTTTGTCTCCTCCTGAAGACGCAACATTTCTCTCTCTACTGTCGACTTATGTCCGTTTCTCAACCATGTTAGAGCTCTACAAAGAACGTGAGAAATACGAATAGTATGTTGCGTCAAAATAGAGTATTGGTTAAATCGAAAAGAAAGATTGCCCCCGCTTACCTGATCGCTTCGTTAATTCGATTACGCCGCACTAGATATACAGGTGTTTCCGGCATGAAAACGAATAATGCGAAATAAAGTAAGGGCAACATGAGCATTGATATCGAGAACAAACGATACGAGAGCAAAGCGCCGAGTATATAACCGAAAAGAATACCGCTGTTCAGTAGGAATATCACCAGACTGCCTAGCATACCGCGTATTCCATCGCTCGTAATTTCAGATATGTACAATGGTATCAAGAACAATACCATTCCGCCAGATATGCCCGCAAAGAAACGCGCGATATATAGATGCATATGTTCTGTAGCGAAAATAGTGAACAGCCAAGACAAACAAAATGGCAAAGCCATTAAACAGCCGGTCACTTTACGCCCGAATCTATCCGCTATCATGCCTACTGTCAAGCTCATTATAGTTGCCGATATGCACGTAATCCCGGTTAACCAGGACGCAGCTTCGTCTGTCATCGGCTCGCTACCCACCGGCGGATTTTCACTTTGTAGTTGCGGTATCGTTGGCGATTGCCAACCAACCATCGTTCCAAATGACAGGGCCGAGATGTTTACTAGAAAAAGAATCATGATAATTACTTTCGCAACAATTTTGTTACCATAAACTTTCTTCATCTTTCCTACCTCCTCATGACACCTTTTTCCGGCAACACTCACCAATCAGCGTGACGAAAAGCTGCCGAAGCATCCCTGGCTCGTCAGTCTTATTCCTGTCGGTCATTTCTTCCGTTTTTCCTTCTTTCAGCCCAATATTTTCTTTCACAGCTCTCTCGAAACAAAAATATCTCTATCTGACCTAAAATTCCGAAAGTCTGATTGAAAAATTTCTTCCGTTCCAATTTGATCTTTTTGATAAACTTCTACGATATACTTAATTGTTCTCCTTACGTCTACCGCGGACTACTTCTGCCGCCAAAAGTTCAATTCTTCCTTCAATTTATACCGATCGGTAACAATCTCATTACCGAACTTGAATGACTCAAATATAATTCTCTTATCATCTATTTCGCTTAGATCCCTTATTCTGTGTGTACTCGACAAACATCCGTGCACTTGTGCGTCACTTTTCCCGTCTCTTTTTACTTCTCCATTCTTGCTTTTTGCAAGTTAAAACGCAATTTTTGACATGCGATACCTCGTTTTTCTCTACATTAATCAATCGTTTTTTTACCGTTTCAACATACATTTATTGAAGCCTGGTATTATGAACATAGATATTGCTAATTGTTAGAACAGTATTTTGCTAAAAGAATTTAATTCCGGTAAATAAAATCATTTCACCACTGTCATTTCAGCATAATTAAATCCATTCGACTATGATTTACTACCAGATCTATATTACCGACTCTTAGTTCGGGTCATAATTTATGACCTCGTAACAGTCTACTCATATTTTCAAGTGAAGAGCTTTAGATTAATTTATGCTCTCCCATGTACATATGTACATATCAATTTTTCAACGCACAGTACACGTGTTTAAATTCATCGCGCGATAATATTACGATACCACGAGTGTATAATGTTTGCAATTTCGGAATAATAGGTACAATTAAATACGTGTGCATCTGTAAATAGAACGATAGCTGAATAAAATATAGTAAGCGATCGTGATGGTCGCATTCTCTCATTTTTATCTATTTATCGTATTAATTATGGTTTTAATTTTAATTTTATTAGTTATACATCGCTATCGTCCTATCTTTCTATCTTCTCCCCTTTACAATGTCGATCGAATGATTAACGTTATTTTTGAAAAAGTTTATATTTAGTTAAATATGCAACACGTATCTGGCATTAATAGTATCTAAAACATACGACAACGCACATATGCAAATGCTAATTCGAATACATAGATGTAACTCATGCACGCCTGAACCTGAACGTATCTGTCGCACCTAGGTAACATCAAAACAGGTATTTAACCTAACAAAATTCTCCTTCGTATTCAATGCGTGTAGTTTGTTATAAACATAGTTTCTTTTAATAAACAAAAAATATTGGAAACATTAATACCGTTCTTTAATAAATATCATTGTAATGTAAATGTGAATTTAAATTGAAATAATGACCTTTTTTTTTTTCTCAAAAATATATCTTTTTAAATCCTCTGTGTATCCTTCAATAGGATGACCATGTTATGTTAGAGCAATGATGTTGATTTTTAATATCAAAGAAGACATTCTTTTAAGGAAATTATTTTTCTATATTTTTGTATTTCATCAAGACATTCCAATCATCTTTATATTATAATCTTTTAAAATAAATGTTGTATACATCCACGATACAAATTTATTTCAAATTTAAATTTTAAGCTTTTTTAGGTTCAATATGCAATAGAAAGCTTTTTCTTATACTAAAGCAAGTACCGTGCACATGATCTTTTTTTTTCTTTTTCATTTACTTACCTCAGTTTGCAATGAAACATGTTTCTATATACTGGAAAAGTTTCTTGAATATTTGCAAATAAAATTTAAGCTATATATTTACTTGTTGAATTGTATCATTTATAATATTATTGCACGATGTACGACCGATTTGTAATATTTTACAAAATTTTTCCTAATTAATCATTATTTATTACTTCATTTTTTCCAACTACTTTTCTTTTTGTTCTTTTCTGAAAAATATAGTATCTCTTTCTATATGCAGCATTAGACATAATATCGTGGAACATGGCATGGCACTGCAGTGGAAATACAAACCAAGAAATGGTAACCAAACTAAAAGGTAAGATTTCCTTGTATAGAAATAATTTTGTATAATATATAATAAGAATGATATATTGTAAATATAATTATGTATAATTATGTAAAATAAATTAAATATAATACTCTTTACTCTATGGAATGTAGAGAAATTAATTGTGGACTTTTGTACTAGATGCAGGTATTCTAACAACAGACAGAGCAGAAGCAGCAATGCTTGCTGTAGATAGGGCAAACTATTATCATAAATCAAATCCATATCTTGATCAACCGAGAAAAATTGGTTACAACGTTACGATTAGTGCTCCTCATATGGTAAAATACTATAAATCTGTTGTTAAGATTGTCATTTAAACACTTGTAGTATTTTTAGTTCAACATATATAGCGATTCTTATGCTATTCTTGATATTAAGGCTGTAAAGATTTGCAATAACAGATTTTAATATAGAAGCAACACAATTATAAAAAATATATTTATTTTAAGTACATCTACTGTTAGAAGTAAATGTTGTTTTGCAGCATGCATATGCCTTGTCTATCCTGTCTGATCAATTATTCGATGGAGCAAAAGCATTGGATGTTGGTTCAGGATCTGGCTACTTGTCTGCATGTATGGCATTTATGGTGGGTTCTCGTGGTCGTGTGATTGGGATTGATCATATTCCAGAACTAGTAGAAATTTCTTTGAAAAACGTAAGCAGTGATTGCCCTCATTTCATCAAGGAAGAACGCGTTAAATTCGTAGGTAAGAAAACACAAGTCTATTAATATATTGTTGCAATTTCTATTCACGAATAGTTGGTGTCGGGAAAAAGATAAGGGAATTCCTTGTTAATACATGGTCTTTTTCCTGCAACGTTTGAAAACTTCATGTATTCAAGAATTTTAAAATAACATAGATGTAGTGAAATAAAAAATACTCGCAATCCACCCACGTGGAATAGGTATATACCTTACCATGAAGAATCAAACAGGATTGTGTCCACCAACTGCGTGATTTTGCTGTCTATTATATATAAAATAGAGCAAAGACTAACAACAGGTCATTATAAATGCGCCTAGTGGGAGATGGTCGATTGGGATATGCTACTGAGAGCCCTTACAATGCGATTCACGTTGGAGCAGCCGCGGAAACATTACCACAACAGGTATAGTACAGTATTTAAAAGCGAATAGTATATATACCGACATATAACGGTGTCTTTATAAACAAATTAGCAAGAATAACGCTTATTTTGCATTATTTCAGTTGATAGATCAACTGACACCTGGTGGCCGGCTGATCTGTCCAGTTGTTGCCATAGAAGGTTTACAAAGGTTTCAAGATCTGGTGCAAGTTGATAAAAATATCGATGGTACGATCACAAGAACGAAGCTAATGCAAGTTTCCTATATTCCTCTTACTGATCCTGCCACTCAATTAATGAACGATTATTATTCTTAATAATATCTTCTTAATAATAATAATAATAATAATAATAATAATAATAACAACAACAACAACAACAACAACAATAATAACAATTATATATTATTATTATTATTATTATTAACAATTCCAAATGTTTAGAAATCATTTAGGCTTTAGGCTTTCAGTATTAAAACAAAATTATCATTGGCAATGGCAGTTATGATGTGATAATTAGTCAATGAATGTTAGTAATATTTAAACGAATATAGAAACTTCTTCCTTATGCGTTGCATGATGCTCTTAAGTTAACATCATTTTTTGCTAACATGTACAACGATACAATATATTTTACGTAAATGAAATAACTCGGCGCATTATTCAATGATGTATTGCTTGTATAATAATTACTGATACTCGTTTAAGTAAAATTAATTTAATTCTTTTCGAAATTACGTAAATATTCTAATTTTTATTATCTTTATTGTGAAAGTATTTAAACAAATAATAGGTATATGTATTTAATAAATTATTTAGTGAGTAAACATACAAATTATTTTTGTACTCAAAACAAAAGCAAAAAGCGTAAAAATAATATACATGCGATGTCACAAGGATAATAATAATTTTTAATCAAATATATCATAGAATCAACATTTATGGCGTTAATAATTCAACATAAAACAACATAGAACATAATCGTGATATTAACGTCGGTTATAGAATTAAAATTAAATACTGTATTACAAAAATAAAATTGAGAATAATATAAAGAAGATAAAAAAGGAATGAAAAAGCATAAAACATAAGAATTCGGCCAAGATATAAATGCCGGTTTATGACTTTATTCCGATGATCTCAGCAATCAGAACATTCGCAAATTTTACTTTGGTTTTGTCATATCTTAAAAGTGCCAACAAAAAACTATCCTTAATAGGTTGAATCTTCTAGCCTCTGATTAACATGTGTATATTATAAAGTAAGAACGCAACGATTGAAATTTTGACTTCAAAGTTGCCGCCATAGTAGAACAATGATATTTGTCGAGTAGCACCTAACCTATAAAAAAAGGCAATCGATGCCGTGATGAAGTGTGTCAACGCAAATACTTGAGCAGCAGTTTTTAACATAAATTGAAATTATTTGTTGTGGTTATTTTGAAAGAAAAACTAGTGAATCTATAAAAAATTTCGTGACTCAAAAAAAGGATATCTATTAAATTGTTAAGTAGATATACTAGAGCAAAATACATAATACGAAATAGTATCGAACAAAAATCTTCACAATAAAACAAAAATCTTCACGATCAAACAAAAATTGGCTGAACATGATACTCGAAAGTGTTAGTAACAAGCGACAGCAAATAATTGTTGGTCTTAGATGTGTTCAAAACGTCAATTACCAAAATTTCTACGCAATGTGTCGGACTAAAATTTACAATTCAGATTAAATGGAATATTATAGTTGAACACAAAAAGAAGAACAGGTAATTAAAATTGCAATTTCCATTCTTCAAATTGCTGTCGATCTATCGATTGTTATAATTATCAGAGACTAACTTTTTATTTTCTGTACTTGATCATTCATTTCTAATCGCTATTCCCTCAAGAGTGGGTAAAGATATTAGTTTTGTTTTTAATATGTTTCGTTTACATATATTATGGTTCCTTTAGATAAATAAGTGCCGATTTGGAAAGCGAATATGCTACTTAAATATACGTTAGATTTTAATTGCTTGTCGTAGTACTTTGAAAATTATGTTTGATCAAGTTTATAAGTAATTGTGTAAATTTTCCTACTTACTATAATTGAACGATTAGATAAGTAGTAAAAGTCAAAATTAGATATTTGCTTAAAATTTGAGACGAAAGTCATCGGCATAAGTCGATGCAAAATATCTTCGTCATGTTTGTTGTACATTGTCAATGTCAATTGTTCTGCAATATGCGTGAAGAGAATGATTTAATTGAGAAATCTAATACAACATTTATTTAATTAACTATGATAAGATATTTGTATTAATATCGTCGTTACAGTATTTGTATTCGTTATTATCTAAAGCGGATTTCTTTATCGAAATACGTGATGTAATCAAGCAGTTTCTTTTTACCCACAAATATAATATAATAATGTTTTCTACTTAATATTTATAAAATATTAACATCTATTTATGAAATCAGGATTTATCCCTTTATGGTCGGAAATTAAGCAACAATCTATGAAAAATCATTTACTAGAATATGTAACAAAATATAATTTAATACGAGGACAAAGTAAAAAATTATAAATAGTCTACCTTTTTTTATGATAATAAACAGAGAAGATATCTTTTCCTATAATTTTCAGTCAGAAATCGATGAATTGATTAATTTCTTTTTCTTTTTCTTCTTTGTCTCTTTTCCTCATCCCATTTTTCTATTTCTTTTTCTTTTAATTTCGATTGAACGTGGTCAATTGCAATCAATCAAATGTAGAATTTTTTGAATTTGACAAAATTGTTTAACTGGTTATTTCATTGTTTGCCGATGAACCGATTGGTGAAAGGTCTAACCGGTTTTTAAGCAGATTGCAAGTAGTGGATTACATAAAGGAAAAGTAAAAAGTAAAATGATTTGTTATATGAGTTTCGATCGGCAAGCTTAAAAATTCACTCGTCGATCATGCATGTTTTGGGATTCAGGTCGTAAATTCCGATGTATCGAAATGGCAAAAGTAGCATTCTAAATTACACTTTTACGCGATTCAGTTAATATTGCGTCAATGAGTATCCATATAGAAGGTTAGTTTTGTTGAGTCAGAGATGATATGCGTGATTCGAATGAACTAAAAAAATGCATCGAAACAGCAAATCTCTCGGTGCAATAAAAAACGATCCAATGATTCAAACGTGTGTAGAGTTTTTATTAACCACCGTTTATCGCCTTGATAATCACGCGCATTTGTTTTCCGTAAAAGAAGGAAAAAATGTGGTAGGAAGACAGAGATAAAAGTATAACGCGATGCGCCGTGATCTGGTACAAATTCATTTCTGCGGAAAGAAACGCGCGTCGGACCTACGATTCAGTCTGACGTCGATTGTTCTTCTGGTAGGACATTTTCCCGAACTTTTACGAACGTTAAGAAAACGCGTTCAATATTCCAGAATTTAATTCGTTTGGCTCCATCATTCACACTCATATTCCATGTAACAGAAGCATTGTTTAAATTGTCCTTGCACTCATCCCGTAAACTCCCGCGTTCCTTTTCTCCTCCCCCTCCCCCTCCCATCCTCCTCCTCCTCCTCCTCCTCCTCCACCTCCTCTGCCTGTTCTTCTTTCTCCTATTTCCTTCCTTCCCTTCTTCGACTTCTACTTTTTCCCTTCTGCTATTTTTCCTCTCTGTCGCCTTAACTTATCCCTTCTCTTCGTTCCTTCTTACTCACCACCCTACTCTATCCCGTCTCTTACCAAGATGATCCGATTTTTATATCAGCAATAGAATAGTGTGTACCGATATCGTTAAGGTTAGTGAGTAGTGATAAATTGTGTTAGTGATTATGCTTCGACCTTGTACAGTGTAAAGCAATTATATAGATTATCGTAACAGACATTGCATCATGGTTTAACGCGTTACGTATTCAGGAACGCATGTCGACTGATAAATCTCCACGGCTATGTGTCTGAAAATGATAGTTATATATGTACATTAATATCGATACGTAACGTTTGCTAAAATTATCACTCGTTACATTTTCTTGGAGAATCCAGTTTCACAAAAATGATACGATCAGCTTGGAATTTTGTCGCTTATTTTTCGTACAGTAGTATTGCTTTTTCAGTATGATAACTCATCGATTTACGTATAACCAGGTAAAAAAAGATGGGCTAGATAAAAAAAAACGGTTATACCGTACGATGGTTGTATTGAATCATAAAACGCAACAGCTTGAAACGAGGTTATTCGAACTTAAACTTACTTCTCATACTATAGATATCGAGCATTTCTATATGAATATCGATCGTCTGCCGGTATAGCATTTTTCATATCGAACTCCTCGCAATATCCAGTCTACCTCGATTGTTAAAATCGAGCTCTTCCAAACGAAAGGAAGCCGAAAAATTCGATCAGGCACATCGGTTATAGGTCGATTTAAAATTTCGAGCGTATCGGTGCAAAGTTACGGGATTTAAATGTTTAACCGTTACAGGGCCGAGAAATTGGGTAAAATCTCCCGAAACTGTTTCAATATCATTGTCAAAAGGATATCGGGTGGAGCTTGCATACGGCTATCACGTGTTATTAACGTGTTTGCGTTAGTGCGGAACGATTTAATGGTAAGATGCAAGAAAAGGGGAGCAAGTTCGAGAACGTGAAGCTTTCACTCTTCGAAAAATTGATCGATATATCAAAACGTAACAGACCTTTGGGATCGCGTTACTCCCTACACAGAAGCTTTCACAATTGATCATTATAACGTGTCACGTACGTGTATATTTCTTTGCGTACGTATACATATTATCTATTATAAATGGATACTAAACGAATAAACGAAGCTTCTTTTATGAAATTTGTTTTCGCTTTTCTTTTCAGTATCGATTAAGATATCCTTTCGTATAATCGTGATGTCGAATCCCGCAAACGTGATCGTCCGGATGATCGCGGTTGAACAATGAGTCGTGCGATTCTCGAAGAAGATATAGTTTACTATGACATTTCGTGTCATATTTTCAATTGCAGTGTTCACCTCGCGGTAGCAACCGCGTGTTTGCCAGCACGGTTCTGCATACAGTGGGTAAGAAAAGTATTGACAGCCTATATTACTTGGGAATTCATGTAGCCAGAAAGTTCGGATTTTAACGAAAATTCGTGGACATGTTGAGCATAACGAGTTGTACATGGAGCAATTTCTTTTATACGCAAGAAATCTTTTCAAGGGAACCAAATAAACCCTCCAAGTATCAGTGTTTTTTCATGCTCTGATTATAACATCTTTCCGGAATTTTTTCCGCGATAAACCTATGAAACAGTAAATTTGTCGTAGAAAAAGTTTTCACGTATCTTGTACTGTTTCAAAGTTATTTAAAAGTATATTTAAAAGAGCGAAATGAGCGCTGGAAATTCAGTTGCTAATTTCATCAGCTTGATAATTTGTTGTAATATACGTACTCATAGATTTTCATCAAAAAAAAAGATTAAAATTAAAAAATTAAAATTAGAATCTTCTGGTTAAGTGAATTTTCTTGTAATACAGTGTGCTAATATATTTTTACCCGCTGTATATATACGTATTGTCGCATTAGCTTATGGTCGCGGAAATCGTGCCACTTTCTATTGTATTCGTATATTTGTCTCCTTTTTCACCTACTATATTTTCGTTAGTTTTTATTATCTAAATTGTCTGTTATATATCATAACAATCGATTGTTCGTAGTTTGTGCTAACATTGCGGCGATTAAATTAAAGAAGAAATTTGCTTCTTCGGCTTTAGTGACTATTTAGGACATTATAGGATATTTTCAGTATTTATCTGTTACAGCTCTTGAATTCGAACGATCGAGAAAACGAGAATAATATAATATATCGGAACAAGAATGCAAAATTGTTGCTACGACAACGACAACAACGTCGTCTATAAGGATGTGATCGTTATAGGTATGATTCTTCCATATATCAGTACGAAACATTGACCAAAAGCTCCGAAGCTCCAGCGGCCGATCGAAATGAGATTTCTAAGGGACACTTGACTCTAAATCTAAAATTTCAACTTTGGGTACTTATTAATTTTCGACGTGTTAATATATGTGTAAAAAGAAAAGGGGAAAAAAAAAGAAACTTTTGAGGAAAATCGTGTAATAACATTTGTAGGATCAATGTAAAGGGTAAAGCCTGTGCTTTCACGTCCTTGCATTGAATTTTTACTTGGATATTTTAATAGTAGAAAACAAAGGTGATTTCTATCTTAAAAAATTGTCTCCGAAGTCCAAATTACCTCGGATTACACGGATCGAATCATTCGAGTCTTTAGTTTTTAGAAATGCCATATAAGTTAATGCGCTGTCTTTCGTTGCCAAATGATTTCACTTTAAATAAACTTTGAATAAACCGTAGTATTTCATAGAACAGATGGCATTTTACGTTTACGTTCATTATGACTGGTATATGTAAATAGAACTCTTTAGTATTATACATATGTACATTTAGTTTTGCTGATTCATGCACGTCCGTGGTACTGTACGCAACAGTCGATCTCTAATCATTATTTAGCTACTGTTTCTGTAATTCATGACAATGGCCGGCAATTATTGTGTATTCGGTAAAATTTAGAGCTTAGAATGTACATGGGGCACCCTTACACCGTAAAATAAAATCTAATCGTACTATTCTACATAACAAATTGGGCAAACGTCGGAAAATGTCGAAGAAAATTTCTTTAAACCAATATCTGAGTAACGCTTGCATTTGCGAAATAAAAAAATTTATTTCATGCTTTTCCAACTAATCTTTCTTTATACTTTACTTCTTTTTACTATATCTGTTGATTACCGGCTGTGCACCTATAAGCAGAATTTAATGTACACACACACATACACACACGCGAGGAGACAGGGGAGGAGAGAGAGAGAGAGAGAGAGAGAAGAACGTCGAATTAATTGCGAGAAAAAACTGTTCAGATAATCGGTCTAACAGAAGCAAACTTTAAATCATGTCACAACTCGGTTAGAAATAAAATATTTTCCGACCATAAACGCGGTTTACGCGAAAGAGTACAGTATTTAGTATGGAAAATACAGGAAAAAATGATAAATTACGTATAAATTAAATATAGACATCTATAGAGCATCTATTCCTTTCTGTTCTTCTATTCATTGTAATGCAATAAACAATTTCTATATTCGGATAATAAAAATTCGCATAATCGACGTTCCGACTGTAGTAGGAAAAGTTTCTTTTATTAAAAACTTGAAAACTAATGAAAACTAATAAAAATCGAAGCCGAAATGTTGGATTTAGGGTCCATCTTCCCACTATCTCCGACCAGATATCAGTGTCTTTCGAAATTATAACCTTAGATACCAAAAGACCTTTTAAACGATAAATTCTTCGTCTTAACCTTCCGGTTCCTACGGCTGACAGCCGGATATCAGTGTCACATCTATTGACACATCGTTAATTCACTAACGTGTATCGATGGGGGTTGAGCATCTCACCGATCAGATACATACTATATCGATACAATGAAGGCTACGTTCAAGCTCAAAACTTCATCGCTGCTTTCAAAAAACAATGAATGCTTTTTGAACATGTCGTAGAAGTGAAGAACATTCGTTCGAACTTTTTCTTTCGGGGCACCAGGAATGGTGGTCAGCTTAGGTTTTCAAGATAAAACAGAGTCCATTTTAGCGTTCGCAGACGAAATCCAATCCAGACATTTGCACGCGAGCAAACGATCTCGAATCCGGTCGAAGAAAAAGGAAGGAATCGATGTCGAGTTTTGTCTGGCAGCTTAGGTATCTCGGTCGACAATTTTGAAGCTCACTTCGAGTTCTCATTTAGCAACGGATGCTAAAATGGGCAAAATTTCAGACGCTTAAATGGGCACTTACTGTATTTTCGGTAAAAAATCTTTCGCCATTGCACAATTGCTCGTGGCAATGTTGCCGTAAATTGTAAGAATTGTAACAATTGTAACATAGACCCACCACAAAGACCACTTACAGTTTCTATAAACATCGTATATAACGGATGAACTCGTCACGAAAGGTACCTCGTAGGTATCGTTTATAAGGAGAATCGACAAGTATTCCTTGTAGCATTAGCGTGTAAATTACGCGATAACATTGTCGTTTTTGATGTCGTGTAAAAGGTGTGTGCATAACTTCAATTTTAAACAGTACATCCTATAGTAGGAGCTGGCGTCAGATGCGAGTGCGCGTCATCGGACATTTGACACTCGGCAATGATGACTGTTACTAAAGAGAAAACCACGTGGTCGTTTAACCACGTCTGTATAGAGTCAGATTTTCGTGTATAATGCCAAAAGTTTTTCATTTATCTCTCGGAAAGAATTCATTTGCCGGGAAACTAGTTGTCTCGCATAGTATCGGTTTTAAGACAGCTCTTATAACGGGTCACCAGCGATTCAGGCGCAGTAGAGGTTTTAACGCATCAACGTAATAAGCTCATGAATGGATCTTTAGAATTTCGAAACGTTCTTTATGTACTTCTTCGAAACATCATCGGGATTTATTATCTAAGAATCTAGATTGGTCCCATTTGCTCGTTTGGTCTCTATCGTAAGTTTCTTCTACCTATAATCGTGTTCTCGCTGTTTAATTTAGTAATCGGGAAATTTTCTATATACTCGATGCATCAAACCAAGTGCTATAAGACGCGTAAGACACGATTTCAGGTGGAAATACACCACGTCGGAGCTTCTTAATAAGTACGGCAAGAAAATAAGAAAAATAAATACAGCATTGTTAGAGAATGGTGTGTGTTTTGTTTAGGAAATGGACCTAGTGGAATATGCCTGTCTTTCATGCTTGCTGGAAATTGGCCTTATTACACCGGAGAACCACATCCCGCGGATGAAATGCTCACGGCCAGGTTACATTTCAGCACAAGATCCGAGAACGAGGGGTATTGCGAGACAACGAGGCAAGAGTTACGAAACGAGATAAGCCATCGGTGGCAACAAAATGATGTTAGATCGAAAGAAAAGGAAGGAAAAAGCGGCGGGAGGGGATTGGCGGGCAGTACTCGTTGCAAACTCGAATGCCTCTCATCCGGTCTAGAGGGTAGAGCCGGTGGTCGACCTTTGTCCCTTCTCATGGACAAACTTCAACATCCCTGCGTAGACGCTGGTCTCGATGTACCGTCCCTTCTTACCTGGAAATCAATTGAGCAGCATCCAGAACATAAAGTGATAGATCACGTTGTGCTCGGCAAAGGTCCGCCCGGTGGTTCATGGCAGGTAACGAACGATACGTTTATCGGTGAGAGCGGTAGACCGAGCAGTAATTGTGGTAACAGAGGATCCGATAAAAGCGTGCTGATCCTCGCGAACCTGTGTTTCACACGGATAAAATATATGAAAAACGATTGATTTCTTTCTCGATCTCTTCGTTCCCTCGCTATATGCTTCCTTCGGTCGCAGATACGAACTTTCCATATTTTTTTCGCTAGTCTACATTGTTAATAGACCTTTTAACTCATATTTTTAACACGCAACTTAACAAGTTGAACGTTTCAAGTTTCAATTTAGAATTTATGAATTAATTGTGTTAGTCGATAGATCCAAACGTGTTGACCATTAGCTTGAACCGATGGATGTCGTTGCCCGATTTAGACATAAGGCAATGGGAGATGTTGATCGAGTCCGAACAACTTCGAAAAACGAATTCGATGGAAGGTGAATCGCCGTGTGCATACTACGCGTTTCAAGAGAAACCGAGTACATTTAAAACGGCCAGCAGAATTTCTGTTCGTACGGTGGCTGCCTATTACAAAGACTATGTACGCAAAAAGAGGTTGGAGCAGTACTTCCGACGGTTGGTTCGCACACCAGTTTAGTTCCAGTTGCTCGCGAGTTGTGTCGCATCTTCTTTGTAACGTTATTGATGTGCTTGCTTGTTTTCCAGCGGAACGGTAGTTACTTCCGTGAGACCAGTCTGTGATTTGGACGCTAATTGCCAGCAACAAGGAAACCATTACAAATGGACAGTGAACGGTTATGAGAAGCAAACTGGAAAACCATTCCGATATCGATGTAAAAGGGTGGTTCTTGCCACTGGCACGACCGATTTATCAAAACGATTGGGTATACCCGGTGAAAATTCTCAACCCGATTGGGTAATTCACGATCTAAACAAGCTGGAATCGAAATTGGATCAACTGATCGATCGGCATCACGGTACTACCTTCCTCCTCTTTCCACCACAACAGCTCTGTACTAATCGTCATTGGTAAATGGCTCAATTTTAGCAATTGAACTAGAGGAACGGCAGATAATCGATCCGGTATTGGTAATTGGTGCTGGTTTAAGCGCTGCGGATGCAATCATGGCCGCACGTTTTCGCGGTATTCCAGTGTTGCATGCGTTCCGCGATTCCTCTAACGAATGGAATAAAACACATACCGAGAAGACAAACGCCATCTACGATAGATTGCAAGGCCTTTCCAGCTCTATATATCCCGAATATCATAAGGTCTATGAGATGATGGCTGACGGTGGCACTAATTATCCTCTATACAGGGCACTACCAGGATATACGTTACATGAACTTAGTGCAAGCAGAGATGATTTTATCGATGATACTGCATCCGAGAAAAAACAAATGGTTACTCTTTCCGATCTAGATGGATGCGTGCATACGTTTCGTGTTTCTGTCGTAGCCATACTTATCGGTACGTACCATCGCGAATCAAGAACCATAATGAAGGTAAGAAAACGATGCATAATACTTCCTGAAAGATTCTAAAAAGTATGTTTATTCATAGGATACAAGCCTGATCTTTCTTACTTGAAAGCCGACGGTATTGGACTTGGAAAATACCCCGATAAACCAATAGACGGAAAATCAAATCCGATCGAGGTTGATGATTTTACTTACGAAGTAACTAAAGCTCCAACTACCGGTCTTTATGCTTTGGGTCCTTTGGTCGGCGATAATTTTGTTCGTTATATACTTGGTGGAGCGTTTGGAATTTTAGTTCACATCCTGAATACCTCGTTTCCTACGTGAACCGGCATAAGCCTCTTCCTTTCATTGTGCTCGATAATTTCAATTAATGGAGGTCAGTCATCGAAATGGTAAAGGAATCACACTCTTTTACCCATGTTTTATACATATGTTCATACTATATTATACTTCTCAACAGTTTTCCCTACCCAATTGTATTATCCTCTTACGGAGTTAGTAAAAAGATATAAACTGAAATTCTTTTATACTTTACACGGATTTCCAACTGTTTACCGTAACGTTTTCACAAATCCATTTAGGGTTTTCAAGATATCTGAACAAATGTATTCATAAGTGTATGATGATCTTTATCATGAATCTTGAACAAGAAAAACGAAGACGATATAACAATAAATTCATACCATTTTAATATAAGCATTTAATGCATTTCATTTATTAGAATAATTATTATAATATATTGCAATACTTCGAATTACACATAAAACATCGAGCTATTTCTTTTTAGCAGATATTCTATTAAATTTCATAGATTCAATAAGTGTTTATATGATTTAACATATTTTATGAATTTCTTTCATTTTTTGTTGACCAATCATTTTTCGTCAACAAAAGGTAAGGTAATACTTTTATGCATCTGGATATACAGTTAGAATGCATCCGAAATTCACATAATACGGTTGCACACATTCACGGGCACATATATACATACCACGTATCACAAGCAGACATGTAGTTTGGAAGATATCTTTATATAAATAAATATTTGCATAAGCATCGGAAATACATACACACGAGCGCACGTATCTTAATCAATATGTTTCTTACACAGTTGTTTATAATTTTTAAGTCAATGTTAAATATCATTATAATTATATCATACGTTCGATAAAATATCCTCCGTTTATTTAAAAAATAGTACTGCGATGTACTATATATACAAGTTTGCTTTCATTGCTCTTGCATGCAATGTGCTTACTTTAAACTATCGTTTCTGTTATAAAGGAACAATCAAAAAGCAATCAATCTGTAAATATTCTTCATAATGTTCATTTTAATTGTGAACACATTTAACCTTTCTTTCTCCCACTTGCCCCCTTCCCCCTTCCCACCCGCCAATTTTTTTTTCTTTTCTTTCTTTCAGATTTACAGCTGTGTCCTAATATAAATATATGTTATTTATCATTGATATATTATATGAATTATTAATTAACCTTTTAAATTTATATTATACGTAAATCTTAAAACTCATTATTCAGTGACGTATGCAATAAACCACATTGCAAATAACTCAATATTATGGAATGATTTCGATCATGAAGCAGAACAAAAATAATCAGTATAATCATAAAAATATCATACTTAATTATATTCCACTATTCTCTTGTTTTACCTCGACAATATCAAGTCAATTTTATCGAAAAATACTTCTCACGCAAATTATATACGATGTAAATATGTTTCCCCTTTTTCCCTTTTTCCTTTTTTCTTTTTCTTAGATTAATTAATAAAGAGTTATTCGTACATTACTATACAATCACGAAAATTGAGATAAAAATTGTGTTTCATGTTTTAAATACGATAAAAAGAAAAGTTACTAGAATAATAGCTCCTGCGAGCACGAAAATACAATACAACTTTCTATTAGCTCTCTGATAAGAGTCTGCTTTTTTCAATTGTTTATAACCTTCTTGTACTTGTATCTGTGTCTGTTCAATATTATAATCAATTCTATCCAAAATAGTGCCTTGATCCTGCACCATACTTGCTAAATCCTATTCAAGAAAACTTTTTTACTTATCATTTGCCACAATACATTAATATAAGATAAAAGATCATTGAAATTTAATCTATACGATCCCTTACCTTGAATATATGCCTGAGATCTGCTATACTTTTTACTATATTCCCAATTTGTTCTTCCCTTCCTAAAGCTAATTTCATTCTGTCTTCGAAATCTTCTAACTGTAAAAGTACGGAATCTTGTTTCTGTTCATTAGTTTTCCACACATCTGAATTCACTTCATTTGTTTCCATTAACCATGTATCCGTTGCAGCATTATTTAAAAATATCGATTGATCTTCTGTAAAAAATTGGTTACTTCTCTCTTCTCTTGACTTAATCTCTGAAATTATTAAATGAAGTTGAACGCTTCTTTTTTTTGTATATCCAGCCTATATGGAAACTGTATAAATCATACGTGTTAAATAGTGATTCTGAGCCAATCTGTATTGAAGACTCAGCTCTTGTAAAGCTGTTGAAAGAGCCATTACGGCGCTTATGGCTAATTGGCGTTCTGATGATCTAGCAGCATGCGATGCTGCAGCTTTTATGGTTTGTACTTGATGATAACCACTAGAAAATGCACGTCCTATTTCTCGTGTCAGTTGTTCCATTTGTCTTTCTTCCTGTAGACATGTTTTTAACTATTTGCTCTCTAACAATTAAGTAATCAAAATAAATCAGAAGGATTGTCTAATCTTTTGACGTCAAATATACAATAAGTAATTGAGCTTTAAAATAACAATTGGCATGTCAAAGTTAATGACAAACCTGCGATGTATCATCTAATGTTGGCCTCGTTAATTGTTTAGCATGTAATTCTACTAAACTGTCTATTTTAACACGTAATCTACTTAAAATGTATTGTGTCTCCTCTAAGGCATCTGTCCATACAGGTGGTGCATTACTTTCCAAATTAACATTTTTTAATTCGACATTGTCTGAAATGCCAGAATCTGAAGCCACTAGTGCCATTCGATCAGACAAATTCTGAAATGATATTTCACATTATTTAATCTTTGAATTTTCCATAAAAAAAGATCGCTATCACTAATTTTTTATAGATCATAGGTTAGGTATATCGTACTTGTTCGGCGTATATGTGCTTGCTTTGTAAAGCATTATTTCGCATTAAGATAAATGGTTCTGTCAAATTTCGCATAGCCATCTTAATTAATATTTTAATCGAGACACTAAATAAGTTACAATAATTCACTACTTATCACACTGCTTTTTTGTATGATAACTCTACTCTCTCAGTGTGCTCCATCTGTCACCGCGAAACAGTAGTCGATCAGCTGAAAATATTAAACAAGTCTTCCATATTTTGCTTATTTTCCATATGTACATAGTTGAAATAACGAAAAAAATGACGTGAAAGGAATTTTATTTCAAACATTATACCGCATTATACATACATGCGTTCATATGTCGTTATAAAACATCGATCTATTCGTTTAACATTCTTCTAAATTAACTTAAATTATAAATTAATGTTGGAAACTTAGAATCTTAAAAATCATAGAAAATCAAATCTGCATATGTTTCTGTTGAAAAGAAATGATTTGTAAATTAGTTTACTATATTTCTATCTTTGTCACTGACTACAAAAAGTTGTTCTATATTTTATACAATAAATATTTTTGTTCAATTAATTTAGTGGAATCTTTTGTATCATTTATTATTATACATAGGAATTATAACACTTACACATATAACTTTAGTGCATATATTAAATATAACTACAATATTTTAACATTTAATTATTAAAACTTCATTATTTCTTGCATTTATCATGAATCTTCTTGCACATGCTTCTTCAAAAATAACTTCATATTTTTGCTTTAATTCAAATTAGCTTTATTTTCAATAGTTTCAATAATTAGTGGCCTAGTACTATAAAGATTTCCAATTGTTACTTGTCTCTTAATAACTTGAAGCGTTTCCAATCCTTTATTGTAACATTCATCGATTTTCCCTTGATCCTGTATTGCCTTGTTCTGTTGAAATTCATGTCGAATTTTACGCAAAGCATACATCCTATAATAAATATAAGATTACGTTTACAAAACACAAGAATATAATCTATGGACAAAATATTAATAACATTTGGCATAATAATGTTCTTCATCCCACTTTTAATAATTATTACGAACAACCACAATTTGGTTAACCACAATATGTTAACTCATAAAGTTTACATTTTTTATAATTTATACTTACCGATAATTGTATGAATTCCACTTTCTGCTTTCTCGAATTAAATTTCGATATAGACTCAAAATAGCGCTTCTACTATTAGCCATAATATTTACAATAGATCACAGACCAAATACATTATAGATGGATATCATACGCATCTCCATTAATATCGAGTATGGAAAACACTAAAATTTTATTCTACATTCCGATTTTTCATTTTGTTTTAAATTCCTTTCTCAATATTTCTCATTGTACATTCAGATAATATGCATTTTTTATAATTAATAACAAATTTAAAGGTTCTTTCAATTAATATTTATCAATATTGTAAATTTCCCTTAAATTCTATTATTATTAAATGTGTATAGACATTTAATGCTCATTGTGATTGCAAACGGTACTCTGGGAAAATACAAGATGAGGGATTATTGTTAGAAAGTGATACATAAATACGTATATAAATATATATACATTTTTTATTCACACCTTTTATATTCGTTTAATATACTTTTGTTATTATATTAATAAGTACTACATAATTTAACTAAGATCTTAAAGCTTCTGGAATTTGATGTAATATCATAATGATTTTAGTAAGGTTAGATTACTTAATGTAAATATGTCACATTGCTTTAAACATTTGAAAGTTTTTATAAATAACAATATATTTTACATAGATGCAAACAAATACAAACGAATACAAACATCGGATGTTTCGGTCAGAAAGTATTGCTAAGTAAAAACTTTTCCTTAAGTACGCGAATGGTGACAAACAATGAAGTAACAATATTTGGTCACAAGTATAAAACGGATAAGCGGACAAATATCACTAAAAATATAATTTCTAAATTAGGAAGAAACTTACATCTTTCTCTATATCATCCTCTATCTCATATTCGTCAGCGTATTATTAACCACTTTTACATGCATTTTCTTAATCGTATTGGAAATCCTACTTTCAGTGTATATGATAATATTTCTCCTATAGTTACAGTAGCTAAAAATTTTGATTCTCTTCTTGTACCAGAAGATCATGTCAGTAGGAAGGATAGTAATTGTTATTATATAAATCAAAATACTTTACTAAGAGGCCATACAACGGCTCATCAGACAGAGCTAATTTCCATGGGTTTAAACAATTTCCTTGTGATAGGAGATGTTTATCGTAGAGATGAAATAAATTCCACACATTATCCTGTGTTTCATCAAGTAGATGGTGTCAGATTATGTACAGTAAAGGAGGTATTTCAAAATGTGAACATTTTGGATGAGTTAAGGTTGTTTGAACACAAGGGTATAGAAACTGATGAGAAACAAGCTTGTCATACTTTGGAATCTGTAAAAATAATGGAACACGAATTAAAAAGTACTTTAATTAGCTTAGCACAAACACTTTTTGGATCAGGTAATATTAAAAAGTGAAAATCATTTTGATGTGTAATAAATGAGTTTTTAATTTTAGAAGTTCAGTGCAAATGGGTTGAAGTGTACTTTCCTTTTACTCATCCCTCGTGGGAACTAGAAATCTACCATAAGGAGCAATGGCTTGAAATATTAGGTTGTGGTATTATACGACAGAAAATTTTACTAAACTCTGGTGCAGGAGAACGCATTGGATGGGCATTTGGATTGGGTTTGGAAAGATTAGCTATGTGCGTATATGATATCCCAGATATTAGGTTGTTTTGGAGCAAAGACATCGGCTTCTTAAATCAATTTAAAGTCGAAGATCCTAATGCAGTAATAAAGTATAAGGTAGAGAAATTAGTAAAGTAATTAGTATTATATGAAGCAAATAATTAGCAATTGAATTCCCCTCTTACAGGAAATTAGTATTTATCCTTCTTGTAAAAATGACGTAAGTTTTTGGTTGCCTGAAAATGAATATTATTCACAGAACGATTTTTACGATATAGTAAGAGAGATTGGTGGTGATTACATAGAACAAGTTATATTAAAAGATGAATTCACTCACCCTATAACTAAGAAACTATCGCACTGTTATACCATAGTGTATAGGCATATGAATCGTACAATGATGAAACGAGAAGTGAACAATATCCATAATCAAATAAAAAAACTTGCAGTTGAGAAATTACACGTTACAATGAGATAAATAAGAAAATGAATAAGTTAAAGAAATAAATTATTCATGTATTATTTGTTATGTTTCTTCTATAATACCAATAATACTGTATGTATAAATTAAATTAAAAAAAAAAAAAAGAAAACCGGAATAATAAACCAATAACAGATTAAACATATATATTATTATATATTCCACATTAACTGATTGATTATAAATGTGTCATTAGACCATACATTGATATATTATTAATATTATTACTTAAAAGTAATGCATAATCTATAATATGATACATCTCATCAATATCGCTGATTAACGTTCATTATTTTTAAACCTATAATCTTATAACTTATACACGAATATAAAAATCAATTTATTTTATTGTAACATCGTACATTCGCGATAATTAAATTACATTACATTACATTTCATTATAATTGAGAATAATAAATTTGATTTAAAATACAGAGGAGAAATATGTTATTGGAATATATGACAATCAATAGAAATCTTCACATTTAACATACAAAAAGGAAGATTTAATTTTGTATATTATTGTGTATTTATTAAATGCAGAAGAAAACTTCAAGGAAAAAAAATTATATGCTTTTAATTAGTCAATTTTGTTTTATAAATTCAACGTATTAAAATAATCTAAATAATATGCGTCCAAATGTATACGATACATATAAAGTGAAACTAAATAAAATTCTACGTTAAAATTATGCTTTATTAGAATAAATAAGGAGAAACAAAATGCATATTTACATAGTTGTAGCTTCTTTTTAATGATTATAATTTTAATTTATATTAGTTTACAATCTGGAAAATTAAAAACTGTTTACACTACTGGGTGTCATGTATAAACATTAATAATAACGGTTATGATAATGACGACAGCAATAGTTAATCTTAAATACTACAGCTAATAGTAAAACTAGTACTACTTTTACTGCTGCTACTAATATGTTACTATTACAACTACAACTACTACTGTTGTTATTGTTGTTATTATTATTACTATTACTACTATTAATACCACTACTACTACTACTACTACTACTACTACCACTACCACCACCACTACCGCTACCGCCACCGGCACCACCACCACCACCACTACCACCACCACCGCCACCGCTATTACCACCACACCACTACCACTACCACTACCACTACCACTGCCACGACTACGACTACTACCACTACCACTACCACTACCACTACCACTACCACTACCACTACCACTACCACTACCACTACCACTACCACTACCACTACCACTACCACTACCACTACCACTACCACTACCACTACCACTACCACTACCACTACCACTACACTACTACATTACCATTTCTATTACTATTACTACTACTACTACTACTACTACTACTACTACTACTACTTCTACTACACTACTACATGACCATTTCTATTACTATTACTACTACTACTACTACCACCACTACCACTACCACCACCACCACTATAACTACTACTATTACTATTACTACCACTACACTACTACTACTACTACTGCTACTACTACTCCTACTACTGCTGCTGCTGCTGCTGCTAGTAGTACTAGATAATGACGATGACGATGACGATGACGATGACGATGACGATGACGATGACGATGACGATGACGATGACGATGACGATGAAGAAGACGA